TGCCGAGACCCAGCGACCTAGGCTCGTACTCGAGGGGGCTCGGCAAACACACCCCTCCTTCTGAGCGAAAAGGATGTGCGAGGGTCGCATAAAAAGCCAGGGGAACTCCTGACCGTCCTCTCGCTCCATGCGGAGGCTCGAGGGCTCTCCCTGCAAACCTTGCCGAAACCCAGCGACCTAGGCTCGCACTCGAGGGGGCTCGGCAAACAACCCCTCCTTCCGAACAAAAAGGATGCGCGAGGGTCGCTTAAAGAACCAGAGGAACTCCTGATCGCCCTCTCGCTCCGTGCGGAGGCTCGGGGGCTCTTCCTTCACCCAAAACAAAAGCAAGCCACCCAAGCTCGCACTCAAGGTTTCGGAAAAACATGACAAAAAGGGCACCGAGCCCGTTACGGTCCAGGGGTTCGAAGGCTGGGCCCCCCAAAGGTTTCGACAGCCGCCCTAGGACAACGGAGTCAAGGACAGCTATGGGCGAGCCCGTACATGGCCAAGGCCCAAGCAAGCAATCGCTCGGGATGCCCTAAGTCGTGTCTCGAGACCAGCAGGGAGTTCTCCGAATGGGATCCCACTATAGGGAGGCACCGAGCCCCCGAGGCCAATCGAACGGCCCTAGGACCCACTAGAGAAGCCCTCTGGTACTTTTGGAGTGTGTCTCTGGACCACTAGCCGACCCCTATCAAACGGGGCACGAGCCTCCACTTGGACTTACCCGATAACAGCTCACCGGAAGTGTCACCGCTCGCGCCCACCGAGGGTAGCCTGGCATATTCCACCCCTCCTTCCGAGCGAAAAAGATGCGCGAGGGTCGCATAGAAAGCCAGGGGAACTCCTCACCACCCTCTCGCTCCGTGCGAAGGCTTGGGGGCTCTGCCTGCAAACCTTGCCGAGACCCAGCGACCTAGGCTCACACTCGAGGGGGCTCGGCAAACAAACCCCTCCTTCCGAGCGAAAAGGATGTGTGAGGGCCGTCAAAAAAGACAGGGAAACCACTGATTGCCCTCTCGCTCCGTGCGGAGGCTCGGGGGTTCTTCCTGCAACTAGGCTAAGTCCCAAATGACCAACTCGCATTCACGGGCCCGCAAACACGATAAAGCTCATTGCTCAATGGAGAAAAAAAGCCCTGGAAGAGTAAACCCACTCCTCCGTGGCCTCGGGGTTACACTCACCCGTGGTGCCACAAGACACCCACCGGAACCACCAAGTACAAAACACAATCCCGACGGGAGCTGCTGAGCCAAGACTCGTCAAAACCTTAGGAAAGTGCTCGTACTCCTCCCGAGGCTCGGGGGATACTGTCGGATACCACAAGAAGGGGTACCCTAAGCATAACCGAAAATATTGCTTGAACCTTGCAAAAATCAAAACCAAAGGACAACCACGAGGTCTCGGCCAATTCTCCAATTCGCCTGAGGCTTGCGCCAAGGCCTCAGACGAAAGGCCAAAGCCCTCCGCACCGCCGAGGCCCCGCCCCGCAAGGCCTCAGACGGGATGCCAATTCTTCGATTCGCCCGAGGCTTGCGCCAAGGCCTCAGACGAAAGGCCAAAGCCCTTCGCCCCGCCGAGGCCCTCTCGCCGAGGCCCCGCCCCGCAAGGCCTCGGATGGGATGCCAATTCTCTGATTCACCCGAGGCTTGCGCCGAGGCCTCAGACGAAAGGCCAAAGCCCTCCACCCCGCCGAGGCCCTCTCGCCGAGGCCCCGCCCCGCAAGGCCTCGGACGGGATGCCAATTCTCCAATTCGCCCGAGGCTGAGCTCCGCAACAACCTCGTCACCTCCACCCCGATCGGCTCCTCTGACAAAACGTCACGTCAAGATTAATACGTCCAACTACTCCCGCAACGTCGGCCTTTGACACCGCACAGCCGGGCGAAGACGCGCTAACGGGATGGGGGACTGGCGCGCGCAGTTAGGGTTACCCGCCACCGCGCTCATCATCAGGCCCCCTATCGACACCCATATCGCCTGTGCTACCTAACCCCTGCGCTAAGGACAAAGCAGTGTGGAAGGTCAAGTCCATGTCCCTGTAGTCTCGGAAACAGCGGAAAAGACCAACTGCTCGTCCTCCGCCTCATCCGAGACCCCCCGGTAGGGCCTCGGACGTACTTTCCCTTCTCCGCCTCGGCCAAGGTCGGGCTCATCCCGCATCCTCGTCGTCTCCGCCTCAGCCGCCCCTCTGGCGAGCCGTCCCATCCGTGTAAGTGTGCCTGGTCACACCTACTACGACAGCCACGATGGGCAGGGTACATCAACAGGGGCGATGGGACGGCGGTCAAATCTCCTTTTTTACCATCCCCTACTGACGGTGCAAGGATTACCGTGCCCTGTGGACATCCGTTCCGCACTTTTCCACCTGGACCGGGTACGACGCAGACCGCCGAGACCCCCGTACCATACCTCGGTCACCTCCGAGGCCTCGGCAAAGCAGGCCTCGGCGCGATCAGCTACAGCACCCACTAGGCCTCGACGCTCCACCAAATCAAGAATCCACAAGGCACGGCATGTCTCCTGCCATGGAGGCCATACTGACTAGACATCAACAAGGACCCCCACGACCTCAACAACCTCAAGCCCGGCCAACACGGCGCGTCAGTCAAGTACCAATCGCCATTCCCAACACCATGCTGCTACAGGACTGAACTACAGTAGGCTCCACGTGTAGCTCACTCATGTACTCCTGGCTCCCTCCTTGCGGTTATAAAAGGAAGCAGCCAGGGATAGCCCTGGGGGGGACAAGAGAAACATACTGGAAGAACCCACGCCTCACACACGCCGAAAACAACACTCAGAACACACGCCCCCCCCAAGCTGCCCAAGAGCAACGTCTCAAGCAGCCAAGGCATGCTTCCACGCCGAGACCAGGACTAGCTCCTCTCTCACCCAAATTTTGTAACCCCCTACCACAAGCACTTCGGTGCAAGGAATACAAGATCGATCTCTCAGACTAGACGTAGGGCGCCAATTGCCTGAACCAGTATAAACCTTGTGTCTTTTTGCATCACCATCCGGGATTAGGGGCACGCAGCTCAAATTCACTGGTTGGTTGAGGACCCCCGGTCCGAAACACCGACACTTGTAGTGTGGAAAAACTCTCTTTTTGTGGGTACAGAAGTCATCCAGAACAGATTTTCTATGGCCATAGAGTTCACCTCCCTTTACAATGGGGCTTCTTGAATTCAGACTGTTGTGTATGGCCCATGTGTTCATGAAGAGAAAAGAAATTTTGTAGACTGGTTCGACAACATCCAAATGCCTAATGAAGTGGATTGGCTAGTTGTTGGGGATTTCAATCTCACCAAGAAACCTTCAGATAGAAACAGACTAGGAGGAAATGCTACTGAGATGCTCGGGTTCAATGAAGCAATCAGTTCTCTGGGGATTGTGGAGATTCCTCTTCATGGTAGGAAATTTACTTGGACAAATAAACAGCTCCCCCCTATGGTGGAACGGTTGGATTGGTTCTTCACCTCCAACTCTTGGACTCTTTCCTATCCTCATACTCTAGCACACTCCCTAACTCTAGAGACCTCAGATTATTGGCCATGAGTTATAGAAGTCAAGACAGAGATTCCAAAAGGGGAAGTTTTTAGGTTTGAGAATTGTGGGATGCGTCATGAAAGTTTTCTGCCTTCGGTAGAGCAATGTTGGGCCTCTTCGCCAATCTCTCAGATCAGGCCAAGCTTTTAATAGCTAAGTTTAAGAATCTTATAGGGTCTTTAAGGTCTTGGCAAAGCCAACTCTCTAGACTAAAGGACCTGGTTTCCAATGTCAAATGGGTCCTCTCCCTAGAATTATTAGAAGAACGGACAGATCTCTTAGTCATAGAGTGGAACTTCAAGGAATTGCATAGCACTATGGTGTTGCTAGTACTATTATTTCTCCTGTATAAATTCTCCTTATGTACAGTGTAATATAATTCAAGCAACAACGTGCGGGGTATCATCTAGTTATCATAGATTCAGCATCTCTCAAACATTACCTTTGGATCAAGGGGCATCCCTCAATTCATCTCATATTATGTTCAAACTAGTGACCAAGCTGAGTCAAAGTAATAAAACTTTGATCAAGCTTATCAAGAAGAAGATTGAGAACAATCTTAGGAGTTGACATGAAGTTTTGTCTGAAGCTTTGTGGGCTCATGGTATATCTAGACATGGTGCTATTAAGTTCACTCCTTTGGAGCTAGTGTATGGACAAGAAGGTGTGAAGTGAATCTATTATGTATAATGGACAATATTGACGAGGTGACTGATAAAAGAATAAAGGCTCCGAAGGATATTAAGAGAGATAAAGCTTGAGTTGCCCAAGCTCATAACAAGAAAGTGAAAAGCAAGTCTTTCTAAGTTAGAACTTTGTACAAAAAGATTGAGGCTCCCATTAATCCTCTTAATTTTGGAATTATCTAAGTTAAACTATCTTAACGTTGAATGAAAAGGAGTATCAATACTTATGATATCAAATTAATTATATTCAACTGATCTTAACTGAACTAATTGGATCCATTACTGAGTTGAAAAATAGGATCTCAACTAAATTATGTTGATGGAATCGAGCTTATGCAACAGATCTGATCTGATCATTATAAAATCCTATCGTGCATATAATTTATGAGACAATATGAGCATGAAATTAGAAATTGAGGATAAGACAGTTCTTAGTTGACAAGCAACATGAAATCGACACATGAACAGCAAAAAGAAAAAGAAATGTACACGCTCCCACATTAATTAATGTGAAAAAATGAAGAAGTGCTGAATCTCAATGGCCGTATACTCTACAATATCCTTGATTTAAAGGTACATCCATTTTCGCTAAACCTGCTAGCTACTCTGATTGTCTTCGTGGGCTAATATTTTTAAAATGGAACGTGCTCCAACACGTCTGACGTTAAAAATTGTCTGAAATTGAGAGTCAGATAGTACACACTAATAGGTGGAGACGGGAGAGATAAGCTCAGGAGCAACCCCAGCTGCCCAGGCGCAGGAGAGCACAATGAGAGGAACGATGTTCACCGGCGGAGACCTCCTGTGGTGGATGTTGGTCTTGTTCCTATGCTGCCGCTTGTGGTCCTTCTCCTCCCCATCCCTGATTGCCGCCACGGAGGAGCGCGTCGTCACCCATCTCCCCGGTTTCCAGGGACCCCTCCCCTTCGAGCTCCGAACAGGGTCTGCTCTGCGTGTGGCTCTGAGCCGTTAATCTCTTGGATTTCTATCAACGTGATTAGCTATGGCTCACCGGCCGGCGGGCGTACAGGTATGTGGAGGTGGACGAGCACAATGGCGTCCGCCTCTTCTACTACTTCACCCCCTCCGAGGGCTCCCCCGCCGACGACCCGGTCATGCTCTGGCTCAGTGGTGGCCCCGGATGCACTTCCTTCACCGGCCTCGTCTACCAGAATGGTGAGTATGGTCGCCTCCTCCTACTGATGATCCATCCATCAGGCTAATTCAGAATGGCACAAGACAATTACTCTGCTAGACTTTGGAGAGGCCAAAATGTGCATTGGCCACTTGGTTTGGTGCCCTATTCACATAGGAGATGCTTATGCTTCATTGGATGTAGTTCTTTTTTTTTAAAAAATATTCCTACTCCTCTAAGGGCTGTACAAAAGCTCAACAAGCCTAAAAAAATATGGCTCGATTTATTTTTAGAATTCATTGTAAAAGTCTGCTTTATTTGTGTGTACTGAAATAAAGTTGTAAATGCGGTGATCAATTTTGTACACACAGCCAAAACGTCGATGATACCTGACTGAGAAAAAGGGAGGAAAACATATACTGCACAATCTTGACGATGATTTGTGCATCCCTAAAATAAAGTAATTTCCAGGCCCTCTCAGTTTCAACATTGACAGCTACATGGGTGGCCTGCCTAGGCTGGTGTACAGACAGGAGTCCTGGACCAAGGTTAAACTATTTAAACGCACTCTCTTATTTGGCAGAATATGGAGCTTCTCATTGGATTGGATTTGAATCAGTCTAATCTAACTAATAGCATGGTAATCCAGGTGAGCAATATCATTTTTCTTGATTCCCCGGTTGGAACTGGATTTTCATACTCTGTCAAAGAGCAAGGATACAGTTCAAGTGATACCAAAGCTGTCAACCAAATTCTCATCTTTCTCAAGAAGGTTCTATCCCCTGCTTCTCTAATTTCAATCCCATGCACATCTATATATTGCTGCTAAACATAAACTGGGGTATGCTTGTCACAATAACAACTTCAGTAAGCAAAGATGTCGAATTGTAAGTTGTGCTTTTTGTCTTTCTTTCTCAATAATTTTGCAGTGGTTTGATGAGCACCCAGAGTTGCTGTCGAATCCACTTTACATTGGCGGTGATTCATACGCTGGTATGATTGTGCCTACCGTCACCTCTGAAATTGCTAAGGGTAACATCCCTCGTCAGCTTTCAGTTTCTGTTCCTTTTTTTTCCTTTCAGTCTCTATTGCCTTTTTTTCTGGTATACGTGCATATTCTTTTTTGTCCCACGAACAATTTGATTTTGCGTCATGATGCCTTTGCCTTTTCCAGGTTTGAAAATTGTTGGAAGTGAACCTGCTATGAATCTAAAGGTTTGAAAATTATACTGTCAGCAGCAAAAACTTATAGAGGGATACTTTGAGTTCCCAACCTGCTATCCTATTTTTGGAGGACAGAATTCTCCTATTAATTTTGCATTTGGTGTTCAGGGCTACCTTGTCGGCAATCCGTTCACAGATTTTCCAAACTTTGATGAGCCATCAAAAATTCCATTCGCTCATAGGATGGGTCTCATATCTGACCAAATGTACGAGGTAAGAAGGGTGGATTTAATTATAGACATTAAATATTCTGGTTGTAACCTGCATGCTTTTCTTTGTTGCTGTGTATGCACTGAATATTTCAAGAGTGACTATAAAGGGGTATCCATATTAATGATGTTGGCTTATTTGCAATTTTCAGGCATACAAAAAGAGTTGCCGTGCAGGAGGCAGCACGCACCAAAACATTCAGTGCAGAAACAGTCTTAATGCCATAGATGAGGCATGACCGCTAACAGATTGTTTTCTTACATTTTCCTATGAAAATCACTTGTTGAGGGGCACAATTGATAAACGATTAATTCGCAAAAAAAAAAAAAAAAAAAATTGATAAACGATTGACACACAGTTTCTTCTATTTGTGTAGTGTGTCAAGGATATATCTGAGTTTCACGTTCTGGAGCCCAACTGTGCTTATGCAAGCCCTCACCAATACAATGTTCTCAAGCTGAAGACGAGTTCAGGTGTTCAGAAGATGCAGCAGCTACTAGACTCCACTACAGAAGGGCTTCACTTGTCTGAGATTTCTACACAGTGCAGAGTTAGTGCCAAGATGGGGTTTTAATTTCTTTAGCAGTACACCATTGTTTGCGTAACATTTCACATCATACCATTGTTTGCAGACAATGCTCTATACACTGTCCAGATTATGGGCAAACAATGTCACAGTTAGGGAGGCTCTTGGGATTCACAAGGTACGAAAGCCTGAAGCTGATGCTGAACAACCTGTTTTTGCGTGCTTCCGAACATTATCATGGCCAAGATTATGCCAGATTCATTAGTAACTCGATACTGGCATGATTTTAAGTTGTTTTGAACATTCCCTTTACATGGAGTGTTAGCCCAATCTAATTCATTATGTTTTGTAAAGATAAAGTGGTTATAAAACTATCTGGTATAATTATGCTCTACAATGCAGGGAACAGTTCCCCTATGGTTAAGATGCAACAAGGGCATAACGTATTTGAAAGATATTCAAAGTTCAGTGAAGTACCATTTGGATGTGACCACCAAAGGATACAGAAGTCTAGTTTACAGTGGTGATCATGACATGGCTGTACCTTATATTGGCACACAATCCTGGATTAGGTCCCTTAACTTCTCTGTTGTGGATGACTGGAGACCATGGTATGTTGATGGGCAAGTTGCAGGGTAAGTCAATCTTTTTTCCCTGCATGTTAAGAGTACTTTTTACTGGTGCCCAAGAGGAACAAAGATAATATGCAACTATCACCCTCAGAAAAAAAAATGCAACAGTCAGTCTGACACTAGATATATATGTTATGTGCAGATATACAACGTTGTACTCAAATAACCTCACATTTGCAACGGTGAAGGTAAGAACCTTGGATGTTCCTAATTTCATGTAAACTTCCAACTAAGTGCTCATTTTCTTGGTTTGCTATATCAAATGCCATGGTTGCTGTATGATACGATGTGTAATTAAGAAGAGCCATACTGACCATATGTATAGCTCAGAGAGAAGACATAACTCTGACCAATTTGGTTTTTGCAGGGTGCTGGGCATACTGCTCCAGAGTACATGCCAAAGCAATGCCTTGCTAAGCTTTCAAGGTGGCTTGCTGGTTTTCCCCTTTGACTGCTGCATCGCGTTCGAATTGCATTGCAAAATAATTCCAAAGAACCTTTGTAAGGGTTTTGTGTCCTAAAGAACTGTAACTTCTGTATAAACATGTGTTGGGGAAGCAGTTCCCCTGACGTTATTGCACAACATGGCATGGTCACTGATAGGTAGGCCCCGGGGATCACGGGTCCACACGTCAGTGACCAAGTCATGGGGAGTTTGCATTGCATCAGAGGATCCCCGTTCGCATTCGGACAATCGGTGGCTCTGACCTTTTCTCATCGCTGTACTGTGCATATTGCACATCTGTAATAATGTATATAATAATTGCTATATATACGGACTATATATGTATTCTTTGCATCAGTGATTTGCATATAAAATAAATAAATAAATAAATAAAGACAATACAGCAGCCGTTTCATACACCCACCCCTGTTTCATTCTTCTGCTAGCATTCTAGCAGCAGGCAAAGTGGAAACGTCGGAAGTGTGGTATGCAGTGTCTGCAGATGAATCCTCAAAAACAGAGTCCTCCGCTGAGAAATCACCATAAGCTATTTCTTCAAGGGAACGGACCGAGGCGGTAGTAGGACGACTATGCATCTCTGGAAGGATGGGAAGCTCGGCATCCTGACGTCGCAGGAGATCCATGGCCTCTGAGATCGGCGGTCGCTGGCTCTGGTCATGATGCGTGCACCAAAGGCCCGTGACAAGCACTCGCCTCATCTCCCGGTGGTCAAACTCACCATCCAGCCGCCGATCCGCCGCTCCAAGAATGGTGTTCTTGCGGTACATGTCACGGACCCAGCTAACCAGCACTGAAGCCGCGTTTGGTTGTGCGGTGGTCGGCCGCCTGCCGCAGGCGAGCTCCAGAAGGACGACACCGAAGCTGAAGACGTCGGCCTCCGCGCTCGGCCTCCCGTTGTTGACGAACTCCGGATCCATGTAGCCCGGCGTCCCTGCCACGACCTGCGTGGTGCGCGAGTCGGTCCCGTGGTCCACGAGTCTCGCCAGGCCGAAATCCCCGAGCTTGGCGTTGCAGGATGGGTCGAGCAAGATGTTTGCAGGCTTGATGTCTCCGTGCAACACGCACTGCTCCAACTCCGTGTGGAGGTACAGCATGGCCGAGCCCACACCGAGCGCAATCTTGAACCTGTAAGCACAAATTCAAGATGAAAATCTGAGATATGGTTACGTGATCAGTAATTCACTCGACGAGCTTGAGTACCTGTCTGTCCAAGCCAGTAGCCTCTGAGGATCGTGGAGGTGCTTGTCGAGGCTGCCATTGGGCACCAACTCATAGACAAGCATGAGGCCTCCCGCCTCACCGGACCATCCGAGCAGCTGGACGATGTTCCGGTGCCTCAGCCTCGTCATGACCTTCACCTCGGCCTGAAACTCCCTCTTCCCCTGCGCCTGCAGGGACGACAGCACCTTGATGGCCACGTGACGCTCCTGGTCAGCGAGGAAGCCGCGGTATACAGGGCCGAAGCCTCCTCTGCCAATCTTTTCCGCCTCCGCGAACCCATGAGTCGCGGCGGCAAGCTCACGGCGGCGGTACCGTCTAGGCCCCGAGGTGCAGAGTTCAATCTGGTGGATGAGCTTCTCGTCTGTTTCCAACATGTTACGCATGCACCAGAGCACAAGTCCTGCGATGGTGCAAAGCAGGCCAAACAACGCCAAAGCTGCCGCAGCAGCGGCTGCTCTACTAACCACGCCCACGCCTGGCTCTTGGAGCAAGACCCGTTGTCGGCGGCGACGAATGAGGTTTCTCGTGGTAGAGCTGCCCTGAGAGCCCAACAGTTTTCTGTGTCCTCCAGCAAAGGTCACGGACGCTAGCGTTCTGTGCCTCCCCATGCTTCTAAGTCTAAGCCGAGGAAATGCTCCCCTCTCTGAACTCTGATTCCCAATCCCAACTACGACGAATCCAGTGTAGTAAAAAATAACAGGTGCTTGTAACGGATGGTTGTAGGTATGTGGTTCTTGGATGTTGGGAAACATCACGCTACTTGCATAATAACTAGAAAAGGCACCACGAAGGGAAGATATGTCAAAGCCAAATGGGTCAGAGGAAACTAACTCCTGAGCTCGAGGTGCTCCACCGTAGATCCCCGGTTCCAGCGGCAGCGACGATGGCCGATGAATCCTACGATTCACATCCCTCTGGTTCCAAGGACGGCACACCGACTGATTGCCTTCGCCGCGAAGAGAGAATAGTACCAGTAGTAGCGGCGGTGAACCGGTGATGTTGACGACGCCGGAGCCACCGCAACTGCCAACAGGCGGCAGAGAAGGGAGGTGCCCGGCAAGCCAGCCGGATCCCAGGTCGTGGACACACCTCCCTGTGGAGCTCTCCATGAGCCTTGTTTCTGGTGCCGTCAGCGTGTTCAGAACGAGAGTGAAGATCAGAACTGTTGCTGAGGTTGCCTGTGGCGCCATCGGGAGTTGGATGTGGTGAACGAATTCCCCAGCTTAGTGGAGGAGAACGGCAATAGCGCGTACAGCCTCACTCTGCCTTATCCTTATACTACTGGCTTGGCTAGATGTGCCGCTTGACTTGGAGTCAAATAACTAAATAAGTCTTCAGTTTTGGAATTAATTTTCCTGTTGTTGACACCTTGGCGTGTTGGTTGGTTTTCGAAGGTGTTTCCTCCTCGACGTACGTTGCGGGCAAACACGGAAGTGGGAGGACCTACAACTACAATTCCGAGTTCATCTTTAATTTCACCATCTCTGATAAGACGTCCTTGAAGACCCGCGACTTGACCCGCCAAGTTCGTCGTCCCTAAAGCAGACTGCGTCATGTTCTCCAGCAGTTGGCCTGTTTGGTTGCTATTGTATACCAATTAATATTACGGAACGGCCGTGGCCGGACGTGCGGACGGACGCCCCGCGGCTGCCCTGTTTCCCTTGGGGCTGGCAACAACGCAGAGGATTGGTGGGACACGCAGCAGTGCGCAGAGGACAGGAACACGTGTTTTTCAGGACGGAGCTTCCGGGCGCGGGTCTCGGCGGCCAAGTGGAGCTCGCCGGCGACATAGAGCTCTGCAGCGCGTAGAAGACGGCGCCACACGGAGCTAGGCAAAAAATGCGCAGAGGGTAGGATGGGACGCGGCGACGGCGCAGAGAACAGGAGGGGGAGGGCAGCTGCTGCACACAGACGGTAGGGAGGGCACGGGGCGACGACGCATAGGAGAGGTGGGGGCGACGGCAACGGTGCTCAGACGATGTTGGCTTCCGCTCGAACGCCCTTGGGGCCCACCACTGCAACATCAGCGATGTACTAAGGAAACATGCTCCAATTACTATTGAAACATGTAAAATATCATTGCTGCAACATCGGCGATGTACTACTGAAACATGCCCAGATTACTGTTAAAACATGTATAATATCTTTGTTGCAACATCCATAAACACAACACCTAGAACACGTGCCTGAAGCACCTGCAACATGCTCACGAAACAATTGAAACATAGACTTGCAACATTAGCTCTCAGAGCAACATCTCCTTGCAACACAATATCTGCAACATGCGCTCAAAACACCTGAAACATTCGAAACATAGGCTTGCAACATAGGCTTTTCAGAGCAACATCTCCTGCTTGGGCGAACGGAGGCTCATCGGTACGCAGAGCTCGATGATGGTGCATGGAGCTCACTGGCGGCACGGATGTTGGTGGCGTGGAGCTCGCCGGTGGCACGGATGTCGGTGGCGCGGATCTCAGCGCAGTGGAGTTCGCCGGCAACGCGGATCTCGGCGACGTGGAGCTTGCCGACAATGCAGAGCTCGGCAGCGCGCAGAAGGCGACGCGCCCCACGAGCCGCACGGAGCTAGGCGATGGCGCGTAGAGGGCAAGGTAGGGCAGACATGACGATGCAGAGGACGGGTGGGGGCGGAGGTGGCGGCGCTCAGACGACACGCGCATTTCGGAATAGAGCGTCCGTCTATTCGAACGTCCAGGCCATATCACATCGATTATATTAACGGAATAACCACACATTTCCACCAAAAATTACGGCAGCAACAAAAAGTGGCGACTAGGGATGAAAACGGTCGGAAACGGTTGAAAAACCTCTCAACCGTTTTCTACTTTTACATTTAAATAGGAAAACGAAAGCGAAAGCGGTAAAGCCGGACACAAAAACGAACACGAACTTACGAAATATCAGGAATGTCGAAAACGAACTAATTCGAGCGGAATTATGTCGAACACGGTTGGTATACGAAAAATCAATACGAAATATTGACCCGTAGAACCAAGTGCATAACAATTAACAAGTAAATAATAATTAACAAGTCCTATAACTTTTTTAGAAAGTATTTCCATTCGACACCATGTAAGAAATATATGATTTCTCTAAGGCAACAAGCGTGGGTACGCGATTAATATACCGCTAAAACTTTGTTTAATTTTTTTAACATCTTAAAGACCTCAAATGAAAAAACTAAAAACTAGAAAGTTGTAGATCTCGTCGAGAGCTACAATTTTCATAAAAAATCATCTTCATCCGAGTTCGTATGAAAAAGATACAATTTTTCTAAGGCTGGACTTTTAGCGGACCAAATTTGGTTTAAACCGAATTTCGAATTCGAGATATTCCGAATTTTAAGTAGAAAACGGTCGAAAAAGTGTCATAACCGTTTTCGTTCCGATTTCAAAATTGATGTTCCGAATTTCGAACCGAATTCGTATTTGTCCGAAAATACGAATTCGATCGGATTAAATGTAGAAAACGATATGGTTCGGTATGGGATATTCCCGTACCGTTTTTATCCTCCGTGGCGACTATGCCGGACCTCACACTTTTATATATCAGAATCAGGTGCCACAGTTCAGTAAGAAGATGACTATGATAGGAAGGGCATGAGACTTAATTAAAAGAAGTTTGGTGTGATGTAGTTATGGTTTGAATAAAGGTATGTCCAGGAAATTATGATGCACAGTATCAAATTTGTGGAGTGGTAACGAGTTTTTCAGGTCTGATGGTTATAACTTACATGACAGCTCAGCTGATGCTAGTAAGGCCACCCCCAACGCTACAGCGTGTACTCTAGCCCCATCCTCCGCGTCAGCATCTGGGTGCTGTTTGTTTCGGGAGCGGCAATGTTAACGTAAAAGGAATGGATTTTACCCCTTCCGGAACGGGAAGGGAATCAATAATTTACTATTTTGTTTGGTTCAGGTGCGGCAATCGAAAAGCAGACCCAGACGCGGGCCTTGTTTAGTCAAATTCCAAGTTTTTTCACTCTCTCTTCGTCACATCAATTTTTGGACGCATGCATAGAGCATTAAATGTAGGTAAAAAAAACTAATTACATAGTTTGGTTATAAATCACGAGACGGATCTTTTGAGCCTAGTTAGTCCATGATCGGACAAAATTTATCAAATACAAACGAAACATGCTACAGTGTCCAGGTTGTAAAAATTTGCAATCTAAACAAGACCGCGAGTGCGAGTGGTTACCGCCCGCGAAGCTCCGTAGCTATTCCCATGTGATTCGATTAGAGCATCGTCAGATACATGGCGAGAGATACCTGTACCGTCCATGTATATATGATCATCGTCAGGCTATCTGCTCAACAACCGTCAAAGAAGAAACCCGCGAGGGCTGATGCCATGGACCAACATAAAGATCAAGATAAATTAAGACGGACGTATCTGGACAATAACTAGGATCTTTCTGTTGTGCATATTATGTAATAAACTAGGAAACAATCTGTTAGCTCGATCGATCTCTGTGTAACCCTACCTCTCATGTCTATATAAAGCAGGATAGGAACCTTGGGCTCAGGATCCATCCATCTTCCACCTATTCCATCTACACGTAGCTAGGAGCAACAACCCCTTTAATTGAGCATTCGAATACAAAAGCAGCCGCACCACTAGATTAGGGATTAGCGCGCACCGCGTCCCGAACTAGTATAAATCTCCGTGTCTCGTGTGCTACCATCTGATTCCGTCTACGCGATCACGTTGCTAGATATTGCCGGAGCAAAATAATTTGACAGTTGACGCGCCAGATAAGGGCCTTTCACATTCAGACTAATCTTACGTTTCTAATGGGGATTTTCCTTTACCAACGCCCAGCGGCGGCTCGTCTCTCAACGTCACATGCGTACGGCATCAGCCCACTGCGAGATTCGTCCTTAGGCCATGTTCGCTTGTCTTATAATCCGTACTTTTCAGTTTATTTTTTTAGTCGGAACAGTATTTTTCTCTCACAACAAATCAGCCAGAACGGTATTTCGTTTGTTTTTTCAGAGAAGCGAATGAGGCCTGACTTCATTATGAACAGACTTGTTTACAGCTTCTACGAAGAAATGCCTGTCTTCAGCTTCATCTGCATCTGTCTGCATTTGAATTAGCTGATATCGTCTTTATGCAATCGATTTCTTGATGACACGATCTTGGGAGCTTCGAGTTCCTGCAATTCTCCTTTCCAAATTTTGGTGTAAACACATTGCTTCCCGAATTTTGTGATTTTCGTGATCGAATTCCATTTTGTCGTCACAGTGTGTCTCCCCCACACTTGTTTCCTGTTTACCTTTATGCACAACATGTGTAGAAAAAACACATATCCAAAAGAAATAGAGAGCAGGTAATAATAACAAGACTCCATTAATATATATAAGGCACTTTATTACACAAACCAACCTAAACACAAACTTCAATCACTCTATCAATCTGAGCTAAGCAAGTAACCTAAATATACTAACTTTAAACACTTGACCTAACCACTCATGCCTTATTATCGACTACCTAATTCTCACTTCCTCATCTTAGCAACAAAATGATTTATAGCGTTAAGATCATGTTGTAGGCTCTTGCGATAGACGTGTTCTTCATCGATCCTTTGCTCTAAATATAGATAACATCAGAGAGGTCTTCAATCATCTTCTCTAAGAGGGCAATGGTCATCCTTGGACGCTTCTCAACCTCTGGTATAGGTGGTGATGGCGCCTTCCTCTTCCTCTCCTTTGGGGAAACAACCTTGATCTGATCCGGCATAGCCCGGACTCCATCAATGGTGGTACGAGAGGTGACCGACTTATATTTCGCACATGTGACATCTCCAAACTTATTGGTCTTGACTCTAGTCAGCACCTCGTGTCCCTTTAGAGGAAGAAGGTTGATCTCCTTCGTCACCTTGATCAGCTTCTGGACGTCTAGACGAGGCTCTTGTTGATGTGGCTTGTCTTCAAGAAGTGGACATGATGGCGGTGGAGTGATCATTGGACGGCGGATGGCTTGTGCGAAGTAAGACTGGCTTGAGCGAATGGGAGTAACTTCTAGAGGAACGATGCTCAGCGCAAGCATGTCAGGCTTCTTGCTAAGATCAAAACCATAGGAGACGATCTCTTTGTTGGCCATGAGGACTAGAGATGAGAGCTTTGCTGTTGTTGGAGAGAGGAGGCTTTGATGGGATGGCTATGGA